TGAGATCCTCAGACCCCTTGTGAGACCATATGCTGGTGGGGTTGGCCCTGGGTTCCTCCTAATGCACGACAATGCTAGACCTCATGTGGCTGGAGTATGTCAGCAGTTCCTGCAAGACGAAGGCATTGATGCTATGGACTGGCCCGCCCGTTCCCCAGACCTGAATACAATTGAGCACATCTGGGACATCATGTCTCGCTCCATCCACCAATGCCACGTTGCACCACAGACTGTCCAGGAGTTGGGGGATGCTTTAGTCTAGTGTTGGAGAAGATCCCTCAGGAGACCATCCGCCACCTCATCAAGAGCATGCCCAGGCATTGTAGGGAGGTCATACAGGCACGTGGAGGCCACACTCACACTACTGAGCCTCATTTTGACTTGTTTTAAGGACATTACATCAAAGTTGGATCAGCTTGTAGTGTTTTTTTCCACTTTAATTTTAAGTGTATCTCCAAATCCAGACCTCCATGGGTTGCTAAATTTGATTTCCACTGATAATTTTTGTGTGATTTTGTTGTCAGCACATTCAACTATGTAATGAACAAAGTATTTAATAAGAATATTTCATTCATTCAGATCTAGGATGTCTTATTTTTATGTTCCCTTTATTTTTTTGAGCAGTATATATCTTCAAGGGGTCATTTGAAAATAAAGTCTAGCAGGAGAAAGTAATCTTTCATTGCCCAATTGGACATTTTGGGATCAGGGTGTCCTTAAGATGCCTATTCATATTAGGATAACAATGCTGGAACTTTTACAGCCTTTGAATGGTTCTGTTGATGAGATGAGGCAGAGTTGAAGTGAGCTGACTTGTAGACAATATTATTCTGCGGTTCCAATTTACAATGGAAGATCTGATTTTGTGAGGCTTATCAATGGCAAATAATTTGGACTGTAATTCTATCTAATAGTTCACTTGAATTCATGTGCCAAGTAGGTCTGAAAGCAAAACTAGTAAATCTTGTTGCTCTTTGCATAATAGAAAATAAATGTGTTGCACCAATTTGTGGACTGAATCATAATAATAACTTGTGATGGTGATAAATATAATGCATGGTCTTTTGTATCATATTGCTCACTTCAATGCTCAATGATAACATATACAACACAGACCAGCATAATTTAAAATATGTGATGCAGGATAATAACAATAGCACTTAGACTTATATACCACTTTATAGTGCTTTACAGCCCTCTCTAAGCAGAGTCATTCTATTGCCCCCAACAATCTGGGTCCTCATTTTACCAACCTCAGAAGGATGGAAGGATGAATCAACTTTGTGCAGATCAAAATCAAACTCCTGGAGTCAGCAGTGAGTTAGCCTGAAGTACTGCATTCTAACTCCTGCATCACCACGGCTCTAAATCAATTCACTTAAAAAAAAAAAAGAGAGAGAGAGAGAATTCATCATAACGTGATATGATTGTTTAAATCTTTCATATTAAATGCCCACTTTCATTCAAAATAGAATACTATTTTCTGAAATCTTATTGAATATATTTTTTAAAATATTTTTTATAAATTATTTGAATGTAACAAAAAGCATGGCTTTATATGTAGGCATGTTTTGTAATTGGCCGTATCGATTTGTCTCGATAGTCAAATGGGGTAAGAACTCATAATGTGGTCTCTACATTCCAGTGATCCCAAAATATTGGGACTCTGTTTTATAATATTTTGGAGAATGCTGACTCTGAAGGAATTCAAGCTACAGAGCAATCTGATCAGCTATATCATATCATAGCTGTGTTTTCAAGAAACTTTAGGAGGAAAACTGGGGAAGGCTGAGCCTTTTTCCTCCACCTACTGTCAGCAGAACAAGACTATAAGAACCATGGAAGAGCCTTGATGGCACAGTGGTATATTGCAAGCTAATTCTGCTGACTGCCAGCAGTTTGATTCTCACTGGCTCAAGGTTGACTCAGCCTTCCATCCTTGTGAGGTTGGGAAAATGAGGACCTAGATCGTTGGAGGCAACATGCTGACTCTGTAAACAACATAGAGGGGACTGTAAAGCATTACGAAGTGGGTATATAAGTCTAAGTGCTATGCTACTGCTATCATGCTTTCTGGTACTGGAGAACTAGAAATGGGCAAGACAAATGGACAAGTCAGCTAGTTTGCTCTGTAGTATGCCTTCAGAAACTTCTGTATCCATAAATGATAACATCTCAGTTTGAAAGGGACCATTTGGGCAACTAAATTTATTCTTCACCCCATTATGTGCAGGAATCCAATGAAAGGTAGAACATATGGGAGTCCAGCATCTCTCCAGGTAACAGATCTCTTACCTTCTTTTACCATTAGCAGATTTTCCCTGAGCTTTAACATGGTCATGTGCCTTTTGGTTGCACTGGCCATTTTATGGTTAGGACTACCAGTTTTAGGCTGCATTTTCATCTATCTTCAACAATTGATGTTCAAGGGCTGAGGAACATTTTTCTCATGATAGAGGCATATTTGGAAAATGGCAGTCCTTTGGATCTAATCTTTCTTTGATCTCACTCCTCCCGCCATCCTTTTGTCTCTACCAATATCAGAATTTTGATGTTAAAGATGCAAGGTTGCCTGTGGTTTCTATTGGGGGTGGCAGAGCAGGGGGTCCTCAGGGATAAGTGTCCATGATACACATACAAAAGAGGTGGAACTTTGATATCCCCCTCCGTGCAGGCATCCATGGACAGGTGGGACTTTTATTCTCTTTTCCCTCCCTCCCTCCCTCATCTCTCTCTCTCTCACTCACTCCCTCTCCCTCTCCCCCACCTCTCGTTGGCAAATGTAAATGTTAATTATTATACCAGTATTAGTTTTTTTTAATTCAAACATATTATTTGGATGTAAGTTCCTCTCAGAACAGAAAATTTAGTGAAATCGCCACTTCATCATATGTACAAGTTATGAAAACATCCTTTAATTATAACTAAATATATTTGTTTGGAAGCCCCATGAGCTTCAATCAGTGACTAGCAACTGTACACACAACAATTCTTTTATATATGATAAAAGAAGACAGAGAAGGACATCTGCTTTTAGAATTAGGAAGTCCACATTATTTTTGAGGATGTACCAAAAATCTCTAGCCTTGCTGCATGCTTACCTTGACAAAAGCTCCCAACATATCAAGACCAAAGCAGGCTGATCTGCCGATAAGAAAACTGTTAGTTCTGGCTCCTATCATTGTCCCCAATGCACATCCTCCAATAAAGTAGTTCATGAGGTCTTCTGGAGCATCCTGAATGCAGATGTTGCCATAAAAACTGTCCCTAAGGTGGCCATAGTGACAGTAGATTTGGCTACTCTCATAAGTCCTTCTAGGTTTGTTAGTGGTGTGTACAGAACTATATGGTAAGTTGAACCAATAAGCCAGTAAGGGCCCCAAGGTGCCCCACAAACCTTACGGAAACAGTTCATGCCATCCAGAATCTCCCCGTACTTGCTCATGTTGACACTGATAGCGGTGGCTGGTGCCAATTATTAAACTAGTTTTTAAGAATTTTTCACTGGTAATTTAAATGTTTGCACCTAGATTTACGTATGAAAACCTTTAGAAAATATATTTTTGTGTCTATATATGTGAAAGACTCTGTGAGTTGAGGTTGATTTCAGAAAATTATCCTATTTGTAATCTTTGGCAACAGTATAGAAGTGATGTGTCACTGCCTTCTTGTGCAGTTTCTTTGTCCGTACTTTTGCCTTTGTCTTTAGCCTTAATTCTAGCCTTAGGCATAACTCTATTTTAAAAGGTTTGTTTTTGTTTAAATGGCCATTGTTTTTCTCTGAATTCATGCTTGTACATTTTCCTACTTTATAGCATCAAATATGGAACTCTTATGAACACAGACAGAATCCACTGTTACCTCAAATGAACTCAAATGAACGCAAATGCCTTAAAAGGCAAGCAATGGACACTTTCATCTGTAAGCTGAGTCACAGAGGGAAGAGAGATATCAAGTCCATGAAATGTTTCAACAATTGGCCTTCCAATGGCATGTCAGATTGGGTTGCTGACCAAGACTCTTCTACTTCTGTTGTCCTTCTGGAGGCCATGAATAGAGCATGGATATCATTATATGTAAAACTTCTGCTACAATTCCCAACATGTCCCTGATTTATGTAGCAAGCTGGGGAGATGAGTCATGCTACCAGGTTATGCATTGTCTAGATCCCTCAGGGGATATTTTATTCAATGAGAAATCTGACTGAACTGCATCATTGCTGCTGGTGAGACTCATAAATGCAGAAGACTATATATGGTCCTAGAATAGCTAGCAGAGTATTATGTAAAAGGGAAGGGGATACAAGCCAAGCCTAGACTAAGGCTTATGGAAAAGGGCTTGTCTTTCCAGTAAGGAAAGTGATTCAGTAGGCCTGTATGCACTGGAAACAAGTGTTAGCAGTATTTTGGATCAAAGCTGTGGTGGCTGTGGCTTTAACAGTTCTGCCCTCAAGTGCAACGGAAAGGAATGAACATTACATAAATTAGGATCCTCAGACTGAGCATTAGGGGATTTGCAATTAATCAGCATTTTTTCAGATGATAAGATATACCTACCAAAGCAACAACCATGAAGTTCCATCTTGTAAAATGGATTGCTAAAATCAAGTAATTGGAGGAATACCAGCACTGGCTGGTTTGTTTGTTTTCTGTGTGGGTGAATTTCATTGTGATACCATTCACAACTTCTTGAACTAAGACAAACTCAAGCATCTCTCTCCCAAGTAAGGAACTCCTTCCTTAAGAAACTGCTGCTTGAGTACTCAGCATGCAGTTGGGACCTGGAATACTTACCCTTTATATATTCAGAAGGCCTGTCTCCTTTCCTACTAGATATGGGTATGCAGTAGAGCTTTTCCCATGACACTGACTATATCTTCTTGTGGGAAAACTTGGAAATGGCCTATTTTATAAGAATGGGATGGTTTGTGTTTGATCGTGGGTAATAAAACACAAAGGACTCCAGCTCTTTAAACGTTCCTTTATTTGCTCCTACAGAACTGATTTTGGCAGCCGCGGCAGCTCCTTTAACAGCAGAGCTGCTCGTAGCTTCAACTAGTGATGGCTGTTCAAATTTCCGCCGCCACGGATCAACCAACCAGAGGTGAGTATGCTAATACCTAACACCCCCTACTGTACTGGTCAGGTTCCACCAATCCTGTCCTTGCCTACCGTACGTAATCATGTAAGTAGGTGGGGCTTTTGTGAGCACGACTGGACCTGAGCAGCTCAGTTGCTGGTTGGTCTCTGAACTGCTCGGGTGGATTTACCGTCTCTCCTGTTCTTCCCATTGGAACCTCCTGGAAACTTCTGGCTGGGGCTCCACTAGGAGCCACCCTTTCAACTGCTTTGTGGGCCTGTTCCTGTCTGGCTATGCCATCCTGCCTTTGGGATTCAGGAACATGTCTGCTTTTTTCATTCAGAGCTATTCTTAATTATTGAGGTTGTGTCTCATTAGTTGTCAGGTCCTGTTCTGTATGTTTTCTTGTTTGTGAGGGGTCTCCCCCTCCTCTCTGGTTGTGTTTCACCTGTATGAGGGTTCTCCCTCCTCCTTTCTGGTTGTGTTGTGCCTGTATGAAGGATCTCCCCCTTCTTCTCTATTTGTGTTTCACCTTTGTGAAGGGTCTCCCCCTTCCTCCCTGCTTATGTCTGGGCCACCCCTCATCCCTCAGGCTCTGAGCTGGTCTATATGTCTCCTACAACTTTGCCCATCTGTTGTATCCACTCTGTAAGAGCGGGGCCCAGTTACCTGGGCCACCCTTGTGGGTATCCACAGGAGCTCCCCTGTTAGATTCTTGGTGTAAACTGGGTCACCTGTTTGAAAAGTCCGACATTTGGTGGACGAATGTACTGGTTTGTCTGCATTATATAAGAGGTGTAGTCTGTCTAGGGTTGAGCTTTCTTCCCATGAGTAGTTCGGTGGAGCTCTTATTAATTGTTGCACTGGGTGTTATGTGCTGTATACTTAACAGCTTGTCTAATTTGGCTTGTGTGTCCCCGGGTCCTAGCTTCTGGAGGGTTTCCTTGGTGTAGCATACCATCCGTTCTCCTTGCCCATTGTGGATGGGTGAACTGAGGCTTTTAAGGCATGCCTTATCCCGTTCTGCACTAGGAAACCTTCAAATCGGGTGGCCGTGAATTGGGGCCCATTGCCGGATATGATTATGTCCAGCAGGCCGTGTGTTGCAAATAGTCTCCTAAGCTGTAGGAGTGGTAGATTGCATGGTGCTAACTTCCAACCATTTGGAATATGCAACCACCACTATTAGAAATGTGTGCCCCTTCACTGGTCCGGCAAAATCAATGTGCACCCTCGATCACGGTCCCCTTGTTGTTTCCCACTTGTGTGGGGGTGCTGTGGGAGGTACTGGCCTAGATTCTTGGCAGTGTTTGCAGGTTGACACCCAGGTTCCTATTTCCCTGTTCATCCCTGGCCACCGCACATAGCTCCTAGCCAGGGATTTCATTTTTACAATTCCCGAGTGTCCCTCATGTAACATTTCTAGTATATTCTCCCTTAAAACCTCAGGTATAATCACCCGATCCCCCCAAAATACGCACCCTTTCAGGATCGAGAGTTCCGTTTGTCTGTTTCTGAATGGTTTGGTTTCATCAGCTGTCTCAGCCTGATTGCTTTGATTTTGCTCTCTGTGGGGTGGATTCCTTCGCTATCTATCAGATAGCCCAGGAATTCTACTTTGTTGGCTGCTAATTGACATTTTTCCTTTTTTACTTTAAGCCCCACTTCTTTGAATCTGATTAGGACTTCCCTTAGGCAGTCACGCAATTGTCTTTTGTCCTTGGCTGATACGAGGACATCGTCGAAGTAGGGCATCACCCCTTTAATCTGTTGTAATAGGCATTCCATGAGACTCTGGAATAGCCCTGCAGTGACGCTGACCCCAAATTGTAATCTGTTACATTTGAATGTCCCTCTCTGTGTTACAATTGTCTGGGCTTCTGCTGTCTCAGTGTCTACCGATAATTGCTTATAGGCTTGTGCAAGATCGAGCTTTGCAAAGATCTTCCCCTGCCTCAGGGAATGTAATAGGTGTTGTACCACTGGGACGGCGTACACGCTTTGTTGTAGGGTGCAGTTCAGGGTGGCCTTGTAATCAGCACAGATGCGCATGGACCCATCTGGCTTTACTGGCATGACTATAGGGGTATCCCACTTCGTGTGGTCAATGGGTTCTAGGATCCCTTATGCAATGAGCTTATCTAACTGCTCATCTATTTTAGGTTTAAGTGCGAAGTGGACCCGCCTTGCTTTTAGTCTTATGGGGGTTATGGTCAGGTCTAGGTTAAATGAAATTGGGGATCCCAAGTAGTTGCCCAGTTTTCTGTCGAAGACGTCCTGGAATTCCTCCATCAGGTTCTCTTCCCACTTGGTCTCAGTGATAGTGTGTATCCTGATGACTTCGATGCCCAGCGGTGCAAACCGTTCAAGCCCCAGCAGGCTAGGCCGGTCCCGGTCTACTATAGTCAGCGGCAGGACTCCAAAGTAGTTCTTAAAAGTCACTTTGAATTTTCCTATGCCTATCACAGGAATCTTGTTCCCTTGGTAGTCTTTTAAGGTTATAGTCTGTCTTTTAAGCTGATTTTTGGTTATGCTTGGTTTCAGTCGTTTGATGGTGTCCCAGGATACCATTGATAAGTAGGACCCTGAATCCACTTCCATCCGGCATTGCTTGCCGTCTACGGTAACCTGGATGTGGACCTTTCAGGCATTTCTCATGTTGGAGTGGCCCACAGTCACCATCTGGTATGTCTCTCTTTTCCCGTTGGCTGACTCTTTGTCCCGATGGTTCCTGCTGTATTGGCTCCATCTGTTTCCAGGTTGATTTTCTCTGTTCCGTGGAGGTGTGCCCTGTCTCTGCCTTTGGGAGTTGGGTTTCGATGCTCAGCAGGCCCTCACAATGTGCCCTCGCCAGTCGCACCATTGGCAAATGGCGTTGCAGAAATGGCATTCCAATTGTGGATGGTTTCCTGCAGCCTGCACACCAAAAATCTTTTCTTTTCCCATCTTGGTTTTTTTGGATTGCACTCTGAATAGAGTTTGTTCACCTCCTCATTGTCCTCATCGATTTCTGATTTGGATTCGATGTCCTTGTGGTGGGTGGTGGCGATTTCTTTCAGTGGTGCCTGTGGGGTCCTGTTCATTTTTCTCATGGCAGCTGCCAATTTCTCTGATGCTTCCATTACAGTGGCTTCCGTGATGGGCTTAGTCAGGAGGTGGCTCTGCAGTGTTAGGTCTCTTAGCCCAAGGACTACATGATCCATCATTGTCTTGACTACATTTAGGAACTCACATGCCCCAGTGATGTCCCTCAGGTTTGCAACTAAGTCATTGATGCTCTTGCCTTACTTCTGGTCTCTTTGGTAGAATTCATGCCTTTTGATTAGACAGGATACCAGTGGGATGTAGTGAGCCCTCAGGATCCATTCCAGGTCTGGCCAGGCCATTGTCTTCATATCGCTGGGTGCCAACAGTACCTTGGCCATTTAAAAACAGCGGGCCCGCAGTGCGTGAGAAAGACCGCACTCTTTCTTTGTTCCGAAATGTTCATGAGGTTGTTCCCTTCGAGGAACATGTGGAATCGGTCAATGTACAATTCCCAATCCTCTGTTGTGGGATCGAACGGTGCAAGTGGCATGTTTATTCTGGCATTGTTTGGATGTCCTGCTTCAGTTTTTGTTCACCACGTGCTTGCTGGTCCCGTTTCGTCTCAGGATCCCACCCTCATCACCAGTGTTTGATCATGGGTAATAAGATGCGGAGGACTCCAGCTCTTTAAATGTTCCTTTATTTGCTCCTACAGAACTGATCTTGGCAGCCGCGGCAGTTCCTTTTTACAGCAGAGTTGCTCGCAGCTTCAACAATTGTTGGCTGTTCAAATTTCCGCCACCGCGGATCAACCAACCATAAGTGAGTATGCTAATTTGTTTGCATTTGATGTTTCCGCATATGCAAATAAATGATCACTGAGCATGGGAAATCCATATGATTTTTATTGTTTTATGTTTTATGAGAGAAACCAATGCTTTTCTTGCCCTTGTTTTGTTATTCTCATACAAAAGGAAGGGGTTCTTCCCATGGATTATGGAAAGGATTTCATTAAAACAGCAAAGCAATGAAGACTGAATAAAACCCAGGAGGGACTATAATGTAAAATGATCAGGAAATGATTGCAAGAATTGCAGTGAGATGTATTTCAAGTCTAAACAGTAGAGCATTTAAGTATCTACTTTTGCTTATTCTATATCAACAATCTCCAAACTTGGCAGGAAGATAGCTGGAGAATTCTAGGAATTAAACTCCATAAGTCTTAAGGTTGCCAAGTTTGGAGACCCTTGTTCTGTGTCATCAAAGTAACAAAATCAACAAGGTTGAAATCTGTAGTTGCTGGAATCCCATCTCTGGGATCAATTCAGTGGTGGGCTGCTGCCTGGTCACACATGTGCTCACCACCAGTGAACTGGTTGATAGCGTAAGTGCAGCCCACCTCTGTATCAATTCTGTTTAGAGCACTTGAGATGGAAGAAAACTTTCCTTGAAGAGAGAGGAGTAAATCTGACAGTGGAAAGTTCAAACCAGCAGGAGTTTTTGAGACTGATTCTTCATAGTGCAGGGCCTCCAAAACAGCATGGGGGAATGAGATAGTGAAGCCACTGATTTCCATGTTTAATGTTCCTTGAGCTACTGCCTGATGATGACATTAGGGTTGCATATTTGGGAGAAGCATCAGTTTGCAGAGAAATTTCCTCCTTTGGTATAGAAGAAGGAGGAAATGGATGAATTAAACTATAAACTATGTTAGAATTCTCTTAAGACTGTGCCTAGCTTATGAATGATAAGAATGAGGTAATAAATTATGTTGTCCTATGGCAGTTCTGATAGTTCAGCTAACAATATGATGCTGAAGTAATATAAAAGTTGGCAAGAGAAGATTCTTGGGAAGAAAGTACTAAGAATGGATTCAGAGAGTTTGGGAAGAAGGAGAAAAAGATTATTCAGAAATTGTGGCACCGATTGAGCCATGGACATTTATATCTGGGTTAATTGCTACAGCCTACTGTCAGGCAGCCATAGAAAGTAGAGACTAAGTAAGATTTGAGGGTACATGAATTTTGTATTTTTGTCAATAGCTTGGTTTAGGTCTAATGCTTATTTCACGAAATACAAACCTTGAAATTGCACAGATGCTTGATATGCTGAGCCAGCCTGTAGTGGCAGAGAAGTTGGACTTTCTAACTATCAGCCAGGCAAAATTGCTGCTAGGAAACCATAAACTTAATTTCCTGTTTATTTCCTTACTAGCTCTTTTACTGCTAATAAAAACAGTCCTGTGAGGAAACTAAATTCTAGATCCTTGGTCTGGCATTTTCTTTTTAATAATCAGAAACTTATGATGGGATATCTAGGTAATAGCTCTTTGCTTACTCTTTGTTCCAATATATGGGACTCTGAAATCCCTAGAATGTACTGCAGTAGCAGCAATATTTAATTATACTTGACCATCTGGTGCATTTGAATATTACAGAGAGAGAGAGAGGGAGGGAGGGAGGGAGGGAGGGAGAAGAGAGAGGGAGAGAGAGAATACGGAAATATTGTCACAGGAGTATAGAAGGATATGAAAAATATAAATATTTAAAAGGCAGTAAACAGATACATTTTACCACTATAAAAGAAACATAATAATCAATGACCTAACAAGGATATTTCATAAGGAAAGATGTGACAAGAGAAAGAACAGCCAGTACAATATAGTGGTTAAAATGTTAGATGTAGTGGTTAAGATGTGGATCTGGAGACTCAGAATAAATCCACCTTCCGTTATGGAAACCTATAGAATGACTTTTGGCCTGTTACTCTTCCTCAATTCAAACCACACTACAGGGTTTTTTAAAATTTTTGTTTGTTTTTGTTTTCTGCCAATTGCAGACTGAAACAATCCTTGCGTTACAACGATGGATTCTAGAAAAGTGCCTGCATACTGTTACTGTCAACTATGCTCAACTATGCGGGTCAGATGCATCACGCGCTGGCCACGCCCATGCCTGGTTTAGCAAAGGGAGGGAAGTCACAATAAGTCACATGACGATGCTGTGGTGATATGAGTTTGACATCCCTGATTTAAACAATAGTATCATACTATGAAAAGGGGATGTTGAACTGCAGAATATAAGATTATGTTATGTTGCCCTCTACTGTTCAATAAACTCCTAGGCTGGAGTTGATTATTTTTATTATTTTATTTTTATTTGTCAATTGCTTACAAGATAATAGGTAAAAGTAAAAATATAGTTATGAATATATGGATACATTTAAGAAAAATAAAAATATATATAAAAGAAACAATAGGACAGGGATGGTAGGCACGTTGGTGCACTTATTCATGCCCCCTACAGACCTCTTAGGAAAGGGGTGAGGTCAATAGTAGACAGTCTAAGGTTAAATTTAAGGTTAAATTAATTTGTAAGACATACTTTCATGTTTACCTGACTCTTTAGATTCATGTTTACCTTACTCTTTAGATTCTGAAGCATTGTACACAACAACTAAATTATTAAAAATCAATAAATTAAATAATAATTGAATAATAAATGCTGAATAAATTGATCTAGGAATGGAAACTGTACATTTTATAGTAAGATAGGTTGGGTATAAATTTGATGAATACATATTAATAAATAAATAATAATAATAAAAGCTTACCCTGTCCAACATCCCTTATCATTATTTAGCTTGCCTAAGTATGCTGGAAGTTGTAGTTCAACAACATGTGCAAGCCCACAAGTTCCCCAAAGTAACTATCATTGCTACCACCACCACATGCAAGTACTTGGGGCAAAAAAAATAAGCTGTTCATTTGTTATCATCATGTGTACATTAAAGGGTTTTTTTCCCCATAGTAATCCATTGTCACATGAGAAAAAAATTAATTTTGTAACTCCATGGAATTAGGAGATAATACCAGCTATTTTAGTTGGTGGGGACAACGCTGAAGTGACAAACTTTACTGGTACTTCTTTTGATGCTGTCTACAATGTTTAAATCTTTGTGCAGTCCTAAATGACACTATATAAAACTATCATTCCAAGAGGCAATGGAGAAGGAGAATATTTTCCCACCCCCAAATATTATTCTTTTGAAAATTCATTGGAATAATTCTCTATTGTGACAAGGGCTGGGCTCATTACTTCAAGCTATGGCTTGCTTAACTTTGAGTTACTGAAGAAGTGTTCATACAACAGATAAACCAAAATTATACAAGCCGTATTATTGCTTAGTATGATATGCAAAAGCAGTCACCATGGATTTTGAGGCATTCTGGGAATTAAAAATATAATTAAGAATAGGCTAGGGAGTGTCTTGAGTAGCTAGGGGAGCACTTGTCCATTTTTCATCCTGAACCTGAAATGTATTTTTCTAAAATATAAAATGGACAAATTTATCTTCCATTTTCATTGTAGTCATTCCTTCACCTCCATATCAAATGCTGGACTTTTGAGATAGCATGACTCATATTTTTTTAAAAATTCAATAGTATTGAACTAGCATTTAATTTAATTCATTGAATTAACTTATTCAGATCTGCCTGTGGACAAAAAAGAGAAGGATTTGGATATGGAAGCTCTATCTTGTGCTTTCATTCCTTTCAAATCTCTTTCAAACGACCTGAACACGCCAAGACCTGTGTGTGTGTGTGTGTGTGTGTGTGTGTGTGTGTGTGTGTGTGTATATATATAT